CTGCCCCACCCCCAACGCCGGCGGGCCGGGGTGGGGGGGACCTGTGGCCCCCAACACGGCCGCCGACGGTCCCCGGACCCCTGTCAGTGCAGGCCCCGGAGGGAGCGAGTCTCAAATAAAGACCGTGCTCGCGATGGCAACCGGGGCGGGGGACCGGAGATGAGGCGACAGGGACTCACCCGAGTGCAGCCGCCTCCAGGCAGCGCCGGGGCCGGGGGTGCTGAAGGGAAGCGAGTGTGGGCCGCGCGCGAACTGCGGCTGCGGCGGAGCACCCTCGGGCTGAGGCTGGCTGGCGAGCGGGCAGGAGGTGAGAGGGCGAGGGGCCCGAGCGTCTCGGCCGAGCTCCTGTCACCGCCGCATGGCCGCCCCGGCAGGGCCTCGCTCAGCGCCTAGATCCGCTCAGAGGGGACCGAGGGATAGGCCGGGGTAACCGCGGCAGGCGGGCAGCCCCGGCTAGAGAGCGCGTGCGGGAAAGCGGGGGGGCGATCGGCGGCCCCTTTCCTCTGCTCTCCGAGCTTCTCTCTCACCCTCCTCCTCTTTTTTTTTTTTTTTTTTTTTGATTCGTCCCCACCAACGCGACGGCGGGGGCAGTGGACTACGACTCCCAGGAAGCCTCGCGCCAACAAGCCCAGAGCCCGAAGACGCGGCGAGCGCGGCGCCCGGCCCTCTCGGGCAAGGACTGTCAATGGAGGCGCGGGTGGTGGGAGCGAGGAACATGGCTGCACCTGGGGCCTGCGCTGCTGCTCGGGTGGGGGAGGGGAGCCGGGGCGCAGGGATGAAAATCCAGGCCGGGAGAGCTCCAGCCTGCTCCCTGCCGCTCTGCAGCCGGCCTCAGCCACGGTCCAAGGCTCGCACTCACTCTTGCACCAGAGATTCCCTGCAAATTGAGAGGCCGGACCACTGCAAAGGCCGGAGAGTCCCAGGACGGCCTGCCGCCTTCCATGCTCCGCCAAGGGACCTCCTCCGCCCTGCACCACCCTCCGGAACACAAAGAACTCCTGTTAGTTTTGAAAGCTTGCCTCAAAATCGGCCGAAAGAGACTATTGCCCCAACTTTGCACGGGCGAGGGAAAGGCACCCTTCTGTTTTTATTCACCCTCCAACCCCCAGGCTTTGCTCACTTTCACTCAACATTTAGAAAGTTAAAGTGGAAAAGCCATGGAGGGGAGCAGAAAACGTGGTTTGCAGCCCGTTTTGTTCTGTCAACCGCTAGGCAATTTCACTCAAGCCCCTCCCCCCGATAATTTTTTGCATCTCAACTTTCATTAGCTCGTGAATTTCGAAAATGGTGAGACGTTACTGTTCACCCAAGTTAGAAGTTCAAAAAACTCGAGCCCAGAGATTTTAGATGTTTATGTAAAGAACAAAATCGAGTGATTTTGTGATGTTTCTCCCCACCGGAGATTCGGGGCCCGCCGGCCATCCTCCCCCTCCCCCTCCTCCTCGGTAGGTGGCGACCACGGCGCTTTTTCCAGCCTTTGTCGCTCGCAAGAAAACTTTCCGAGCAGCTAGTCTTTTGATGTAGGTCCAAAACCTTTCCTTTGAATTTGGGTTCACAGATTGGCGTTCCCCATCTTCTTTCTTCCACCGACCGCACCCATAATGCCTCGTCTAGAATGTCCATGTTGGATTTCTTTAAAATAGATGGAGAATTTAAAGGTCCCTGCGAAGCAATCTGATTACAGAAGACTTCCACATTTTTCCCATTTCCCTTGCAATCTTGTACAGTCATTTTGTCTTCGCCTAAATCGATTAGAACTCTCCTTTGTCAAGTCTCTCCGCAGCGTTTAGTTTTTCATAAGGACAATTTTTGCCCTCATATTTCTTAACATTTTGGAATATTTAATTAAATTCCGTCTTCCCAATACCAAGTACAATTGACATATTTAGGAACAAACATTAACTCTTGAGAAGCCTACAACTCAGCTGCTAAGAGCAGCCAGCCTACGAGCTGCAAACTCAGCTGCTGTGAGCATCAGTGAGTATGTTTTATAGAGGGACTGGAGTCCTGAACGGATTCTTGGGAAGACTGGGAGGTTGAGGACAGTGAAGGGAGGATACACTGGGTATGGTGGAGCCATGGAGTAGCATTGGAAGGGTGTCACAAAGTGAGTTAGTAAAGCAAAAGTTCACTTAGTCGAGATTACCCTTGCCATTGACTTATTTAGGAGATAGTCCCTTCACTGTTTATGAATTGAACAGCTCAGTGTGAAATTTTGCTGCTGCTTCATGAACAACTCCAGCTTCCTTGGAGGTTGAAGCTGTTCCTAAAACTATCAAATCCTAACGCAGGTCCCAAAACTTTAGCTGGCTTTGAATTGCCCCTGGACAGAAAGCTGGCCCTTTGGGGACAATGAACAGTGTGTGGAAGGGTATGTGGTGTGAACAGTGTGTAGAGATCAAGCTTTTTTCCCAGTGTATGGCTGTTGGCAGGTGTAACCCTCAAATTCATGTCTCACAGTCATAAATCTCATGCAATTTCAGCTTTCCCTGAGGCCTGGCTTGCCACCTCTGCTGCTAGTGATACGCTTGTTGCTGTTTGTTAGCCAGTTTCTCCCTCACGTCATTGGTACAGATGCTATGTTAATGGTGACCAGAGTTACAAGCCACTTGGATACCAGCTCAGTACAGCCAGTTGTTTTTCCAGCACAGGACTGCACTGCTGTTTTTTGGGTTGAGCAAGAAATGAAAAAAAAATAAATCATTGATTTGTATTTAGGGATGATTTCGTGTGGAATCCTTTGTTTAAATCACACTCAACTTTGTTTAGAATGACATTCAACATAACAAGATGTGTGTACCGAGACCGAGATTGCAGGAAAAGAAGATTCCCAGCTCTTGGCTCCAGCTCACTTGAGACATGAGTACACAGAGGCCAACAGTTGGCAGAATCTTGCAGCTTATTTCAAATTATTTTAAATATTTCTCTCTTTTTAATCTTTAACTTAGTGGATGCAGTCCTGCAGATGAGTGTCCGAATAACATGACACTCCATTCTACTGCATATAGTAACCCCTCCTTATCCGTGGGGGATACATTCCAAGACCCCTAAGTGGGTGCCTGAAACCAAAGATAATACTGAACCGTCCATATACTATGTTTTCTCCTATATGCCTATGTGTACATGCCTATGATAAAGTTTAATTTATAAATTAGGCACAGTAAGAGATTAATAATAACATAGAATAGGGACTTCCCTGGTGGTCCAGTGGCTAAGACTCCATGCTCCCAATTCAGGGGGCCCTGGTCAGGGAACTAGATCCACATGCCACAACCAAGATCCTGCATGCCGCAACTAAGAGCCGGCGAAGCCAAATAAATAAATATGTAAAAAAATAAAAAGATCATGTCCTAGAAATTTCCAATGAGAGAAAGTATTCATTAAAAAAAAACATAGAGGGCTTCCCTGGTGGTGCAGTGGTTGAGAATCTGCCTGCTAATGCAGGGGACACAGGTTCGAGCCCTGGTCTGGGAGGATCCCACATGCTGCGGAGCAACTAGGCCCGTGAGCCACAACTACTGAGCCTGCGCGTCTGGAGCCTGTGCTCCACAACAAGAGAGGCCGCGATAGTGAGAGGCCCACGCACCGCGATGAAGAGTGGCCCCCGCTTGCCACAACTAGAGAAAGCCCTCACACACAAATGAAGATGCAACACAGCAAAAATAAATTAATTAATTAATAAACTCCTACCCCCAACATCTTCTTAAAAAAATAAAATAAAATGACATAGAATAATTATAACAATATATATTGCAATAAAAGTTATGTGGGGACTTCCCTGGTGGCGCAGTGGTTAAGAATCCGCCTCCCAATGCAGGGGACACGGGTTTGAGCCCTGGTCCGGGAAGATCCCACATGCCACAGAGCAATTAAGCCCGTGCGCCACAACTACTGAGCCTGCGCTCTAGAGCCCGTGAGCCACAACTACTGAGCCCAGTGCACCACAGCTACTGAGCCCGTGCACCTAGAGCCCGTGCTCCACAGCAAGACAGGCCAATGCAATGAGAAGCCTGCGCACCACAACGAAGAGTAGCCTGCGCTCACCCCAACTAGAGGAAGCCGGCGCACAGCAACAAAGACCCAACGCAGCCAAAAATAAATAAAATTAATAAAAATAAAAATTAAAATAAATAAAAGTTATGTGAATGTGGTCTCTCTCAAAATATCTTATTAGGACTTCCCTGGTGGTCCAGTGGTTAGGACTCCATTTTTCCAATGCAGGGGGTGCTGGTTCAACCCCTGTTTGAGGAGCTAGTATCCCACATGCTGAGCGGCGAGGTCAAAAATTAAAATTAAAAAAAAAAATTCAAGGGCTTCCCTGGTGGCGCAGTGGTTGAGAGTCCGCCTGCCGATGCAGGGGACACGGGTTCGTGCCCCAGTCTGGGAAGATCCCACGTGCCGCGGAGCGGCTGGGCCTGTGAGCCATGGCCACTGGGCCTGCACGTCCGGAGCCTGTGCTCCGCAACGGGAGAGGCCACAACAGTGAGAGGCCCGCATACCGGGAAAAAAAAAAAAAAAAAAAAAAAAAAATTCAAAATGTCTTATTATACGGTACTTACCCTTCTTGCGATGATGTGAGATGCCAGGTAGCACCAGAGTTAATCTGTCCTTCCGTGTTTTATGCCCTGGTGCCTCCTTTGCACTTTTATGAATGTAGGTTCTATTGGGCATCTTCCAGAAGAGCCCAGTTTCATCACAATTGAAGACTTGCTTTGGATAATATTCTCTGTCCTTAATCAACTTCAACTCTGCTGGAAGTTTGGCAGCAGCTTCTTCCTTAGCAGACACAGCCTTTCCAGTAATTTTTATATTTTTCAGTCCAAACCTATTCCTGAATCTGTGTAACCATCCCTTACTCGCAGTAAACGGCTTGGTATCACCCGTTTCTGGGGATCCCTGGCTGAAGTCTCCGTACAGTCTCAGTGCTTTCTGGCGCAACACATTGCTGTCAATGGGAACACGTTTTCTGTTCATGTCTTCCACCCACAAATTTAATGCCTCTTCCATCTTAACTATGCACTTATCACGCACTGTGGCTGTAACTTTTGCAGTTTGAGGCGCTACAGCAAAACTAGCACGGATTTCTTTTTCCTTCTTCACAATTTCACGGATAGAAGATTCGTTCTTACCGTAGATCTTAGCAACCTCAGCGTACGATTTTTTTTCTTTCCTTACTAAGTCGAGAACTTTCACTTTTTCAATTAAAGGAAGCACTTTACGGCTTCTCTTTGGCATATCCGAACTGCCAGCATCACTATTCTTGCGCTTTGGGGCCATTATTAAGTAAAATAAGGGTTACTTGAGCACAAGCACTGCGATACCTGGCAGTTGATCTGATAACCCAGGCGGCTACTAAGTGACTACCGGGCAGGATACGCTGGACAAAGGGATGATTCACGACCCAGGCAGGACGGAGCGGGCGGGCGTGAAATTTAAAACTTATGAATTGTTTATTTCTGGAATTTTCCATCTGCAGTCAGCCCTCCGTATCCGCGGGTTCTGCATCTGCG